CTGCCTGCCTGCCTGCCCCGCCACCGTGCCTGCCTGTCCCGCTGCTCCTCTTGCCTGTCCCGGCCCCCCTGCCTGTCTCCTGCCCGCTGCCCTGCCAGCCAGTCCCGCTTCTCAGGTGTTTGGCAGGTGTCTGTGCCAAGCGCGTCAGGCTCCTCTTCCCTGCACAGATCAAAGCTGGGCTCAGAGGAGCGTGCGTCTCCAGCTGCGCACTAAAATAGGAGGTGTGATTTTTGTTTTGGTTTTTTCTAAGCTGATGTGAACCTGAGAATTAGGCAAGCCTCGGTTTCTGTGCTGAGGGGCAGATACCAGAGGGCGTAGGAGTCATTAAATGCCGATCTCTCGATGTCTTCTGCTTCTGTCCTACTTCAGCCGTAAGCCAAAAGTTCCAGAGCAGGGGTGACTTCCCTGCTTTGCCTTCAGATGTGGACAGCGTCTCAGGTTGGGTTTAAATTGTAGCATGAATGAAAAGACACATAGAAAATGCTGGAAATGATTGCGCACGGTTAATCAACTCTGTTCCACCTTCTCTGCTGCACGCAAACATGTAACTCGCTGTGCTGCCAGTATAGCAGTCGGTGCTGCAGCTACTTTGACCTTAAACCTGTGCTCCCCTGAAGTTTGGAGGAGTTGGAGATGTGTTTGCGTTTGTTGACTGTGTTTTTCCTGTTGGCTGTTAATTTAACAAACTGCGTCGAGTGGGTTTGGAGTCCGCTGTTACTTGGCTCATTTTTTGTGTTGGGTTCTTACGGTCACATTAACTGTGAAGCTTTTTTTGGAGGTTGTGTGCTCCTCCGATGTTTTTCCGTGGTTTGGTGAATTTAGAGTGTTTTGAAAACATTCTGGTTTTTTAAATGACTGGTTTGGGAGAGGGGGGTGTGTGTGAAGGAACAGAAGAGATGTCTGTGGGTGTTGGAAAACAGCAGAGAGAAGAGAGACTCTGCAGTAAGGGTACCAGAGGGTTGGTATAATCATACCAACAACCTGGGGTTAAATTTATTTAAAAATAATCGTGTGATTGGGTGTCTAAAACACTAGGGCTGGGTGCTAGGTAACTCTGAGCATCTTTACGTCCCAGTAGAGTGGTGAATACTCAACGTGCTTTTTTTTTTTTTTATTTATTTCCTGCCAGCAAGTCAAAAATCATTGTTTAGGACCTCTGAAGGTTGGTCTTGAGGAGAGCTGCTGCAGAGGGGGCGCTGGGACTGTCCTTGGTGTTGGATTTCAGCAGGAACTCTCTGGCCCCAGTGATTGCTTCAGAATTTTAGCTCCTGATAGCACAGCAGTATGAGTCAGGAGCTGCAATAATTTCTTCTTTTTTTTTGCTTGACCTGCAGCTGTAGCTAGTACACAGACTTAGGCAGTCCCTGCTGCGAGTGTGTGTTTCAGGTGTATCTGGTGTGTCAAACTTGGCTTCAGGAAGTTACACAAAAACGTAAGGTGAGCACCAGCGCAGTGGTGTGGTTACCTGGTGAAGCAGCTGGGCTTGGTACAGGTCAGACAGGTTTGCTGTCAGGAAAAAAAGCTCAGGAACCAGGAATAATTTTCTTCTAGTAACTTTGCTTCTAATTATAGGAAGGTGCATTCAGGTTTGTGCCTTCCTTCTGTGAAACTGGTACTAGTACTTCACGCTGCAGTGCTCTTTGTTTTCCAGGTGATCCATAAGTATTCCTGGTAGTTGTCTTACAAAGGGAGATTACTTTTTGTGTTGTACAGAATGGTGAACTGAAATGCAAACAGCTTACTCCAGGTCACAAGATAAATGCGAGTAGAAGTTCTTTGCTCTCTGGATGTGCTTTAAATCCGCTTCTCCTTGTTGTTGAGCAGTTAATGATGAAGGTGTGTCTGTGTTGTGTTAGTGTTGCTAGGCCCGAGTTACAATAAATCAAACTCAGTTGAAATCTGCAATGCTTTAGCTAAGCAGAGTCCATGCTTAACTTTGCATTAATTTTTGTACAATTTAGAGTACAACAGACAGTGGGGTGGGTAACTCACAGTCTAGTATGATGCTGTAAAATCAATGTGGAAAGCATTGCTGTTAGGAAACGACACCTGCTCGGCACACTTGTGGGTCATTCTGCTTAATCATGGAAGATTTTAGTACTTTGTTTTCCCTTTTTTTCATATAGGCAATTTAAATTCCTGGGGTTTTAGAACAGAGATTGTAATTATCTGTTATTGTGTCGAAATAGTTCCTGGCAAAGGTTGCTCATGTATTGACTGGGGGTTGCTTGTGTTCCAAATAATCTCAGTTTGAATTCAGAGATTTCATCTGTGCTGGGATTTGTCACTTTGGGACCTCATGTGTACCTGTGGTGACATTCAGGGGAATAGCACCCAGGATCCACTGATGGGACAGCTCGTGTTTGCATGGGCCTGAAGGATGCCTGCTGACTGAGAGGTTATATATAATATTTTATTATTTCTTGATGACAAAATCATTTTTGAGAGGAGTATTCAAGCTGGGACGATGCTTGGGGCTTTGTGCGTGTAGTTGGTTGGTTGTTTTTTTGCCTTCTGCTCCTGAAGGAGGGTGATTGCTGTCTGACAAATGGAGTGGGTTCAGCAGAGGGCCCCTCTGATTCAGTCCCCTTGTTTAAGTGCTCTGTTCTCCCTCAGATAAAGCTGTTATCTGTCTTGCAGATAAGAACTGGTCTTCAGTTTTTTGGCTGTGGAAAGCATAGTTGAGGTGTTCCCAGCAACAGTCTTCTTTTAGCAACTGAAGAATGAAGCACTGTTTTTTCTTGCCAAGATTTTCTCTGTTCTGTGGCTCATGCCTTCCTTCCAAGCTTAGTTCAAAATTTGAGTCTCCTGGACTCCTCTGAATAATAATACAGCTGGCTTTACTAGCAGAGGTTTACATTTAACCATTTCTCAGTGTTCAGCAACTGTCTTAATTCAAGTCAGATAATCTAAAACCACACAAAGAATTTGTATCTTTATCCTCAGTTTTACTGGCAGACTTGAGTTACATCTGGCTGAGGGAGGCAGGAAGAGCGTTTATTTTGTACTTCGAGCTAAGAAAGCATGTGTAAAAAAAAAAAAAAAAAAGCACACTTCTCAATATTGTAATTTAGTGAGTCTTTTAGTCAATGATTCTTGAAAATCATGCTAACGGTTTCTATACAGACCTTTAAAGGACGAAGTGCAATGGGCTATTCATAGCTAATGTTTTGAGATTGGATTTGTATGCAACTGGAAGATGAATGTGACTGAAGAGAGTTGAGTCTGCAGGGCATATCTGGTTTTGATTTTTAATGGCTTAATCAAACTGGAAGGCAAAGATGGACCTCAAGGGGCCATCTAGTTATAGTTCATCCCCCTGTTCTGAGTGTTTCAGCCCTTTTTTCTGTGATTTCCTGTGATGCTTTTGCTCCAAGGGTGAATTTAAGGCTGCAGTAATCTCAGCTCTTAGCACATCTCTTTCTCTGTCAGGCTCAATTGCTCAGTTTAGCAATAACAATTGAAGGAAACTTAATTGAGCAACTTCCCTGGGTACTGTTTAACTTCAACCTGCCTGGGAGAACGTGTGAAAATTTCTGCAGGAACTCTCTTGGTTTTCTTTTTTCCTAATTTAATTATACACTTTCATTAGTGATGTTAACGACATTATTTTTTAAAAGAAGTATTAGCAACTGAGTAGCTGTTGAGCAATGAGGGAAGCTGGCCTATCTGAATGGAGTTATACAAGTGACTTTACCTGAACAAAATTGAAATTCTGCCCTAGAGTTGAACTGTGACTTCACCCAAGTTGGTGTAACAGTGATGTCTGTATGGTAGGTGCTGCACGCTGCCTTCGGAGTTTCCATATGCTCCTTGTTTTGTCTCCTCCTTTTTTGGCGAGATTAGAGAGGAGAGGATAGCAGGACTGTTTCTTCTGCCTATCTTACGACTGCAGTACACTTTGTGGGCATCAAGTCACAGCAGCCCTTGCCTGCTGAAACGATGTGGTTTTGCCATTACCTGTCTGTCAGGGCACTCCCATGTCCACGTCTCTAAACTCCTTTTGTAATTACTACTGGGGCTGTCTGAGGAAAAAACAAATATTTCTTAGCAAATAGCTGCCACTGGATCCAGATAGCTGATGGTGCTGACTGTTTGCTTTGCAGCGTGTCTGCTGTTCTTGCTGGATAGATGATACTCTTTCAGAAATCTTCGTGTTTTGTGAGAGGTCTAAATTCCACTGGAGAATATCAGACAAACGTGTTTTTTGGTAATGACACGTTCCAAGCCAGTCTCTGGGCTGGATGCCTGAACTTCTCCTGTTTTCTGACCATGTTTTGAAAACTGTAACGACAAGGTCTGCTTTTGTAGTTAAGGTATTTTTCTATTAACAGGTAGTTTCAGGTCTGCCCTGCTGTTGGCAGAATGGGAGTGGTTCGGATGTCAGTGAGGCCTCGGGAGGATGAGCAAGGTGATTTCTGCCTCCCTCAGCTGTGAGTTTTGTGCAAAACCCAGATCTCCCCCTCCCCTCCTTCCTGCTGCTCCTGGAAGTTGGTGGTGGGAAAGCTTGTGCGTAGCTGGTAAAATACATAAAGGAGGGATTTCAGGCAGGTTGCACTGTAATAATGTAAAGTCAAACTTTTAAATAAGGCGTAATTCTGAAATCTGTATAATAATCTGTGAGCCTTTATCAAGGTGATTTTTAGTTGTACACACCCTAACTGGAGAATTTGTGCTTATTTCTTAGTTGTGATGCTGGTCTCTGTAACTCATTGGCTCTTCTGCCGAGGAACTAATTATCTTAAGAGTGTGTAATTTAAAATATGTTCAAATGAAATAGCTGAAATAGAGGATCACGATTGGATTCACGAGTGACTTGGACAGCTAGAGCTGTTTTTCCTCTGAACCCCCGCTCCCTTTGGGCAATGAACTGGCACCTGCCTGTAAGACATTCTTCCTAGTACGCTGCTTTTATCATCTGAATAACTTGATTCTGTCTCGCCTGTCCTTTTAATCAAAATCACCACCAAGAAAAGCAGAACGTCTAGCTTGTCAGAGAGTCAATTTGACAGCTTGATTGAACTTGCTCAGGTATTCATTAAGTGCCGCTAGAGAGAGCTGGGAGAATGGAAAGGAAAGACTAACAATGCTCTAGTTTTTAATGTGCACAGCATATTTTGTGCATCTCCTGGTATGTAGGGAATGAAACTTGTTTTAGCGGGCAGATGTTTCTGCAGTTGCTAGAAAGAGTCGCGGGGCTCCGAGGACCGTCACTAAACAGACCATTGCAGCTGAGTTCATCCGTTTGTCTAAGATGCCACTGCCAGCAACAAACAAAGGGCCTGAGCTTCCCCGTTTCGCAATTTGGTAAATAATCTTTAATCCGTGACTGTAAATTAGCATGGCTGAGTTACAGGCAGCGTTTTCTGGTGGAGTTGAAACTAGATGCCGGAATAAGTGCTTTGTACTTTCAACAAACTATCATGAATTTTGTTGTAAAAGCACAGCGTATGTTACTCATTAAACCTCTTTAACTTTTGAACTCGCCTTCGCCAGCAATTTTGCTTTCTGATTATGTATTCTCTTAGGGGAATGGTTTGCTCTACAGCAGGCTCCTCTGCTGAGGAGTCTGGATCCAGATGTGCGACAAGGACTTGTGTAACTACAATGTAAAAAACACAGAAGTGTGTTATTAAAAAAAATACTTTGAATCTGCAGCTATTTTTTTCTTGTTTCCTGTGGCTTTGTAAACGTAACAAAATACAAAGATTTAAAAAATACCCAGCTGCTCCATGGTGGGTTTTAGTGGCTTATTTTAATGAGCGAGTCAGATTGCTCTATATGCAGAGTAATGTCTGGCTTCTAATGGCCAGGCACTACAAATTCACACTGAAACTTTAAAGCAAAGCTTTGTTCTCTGTGACTCCAACGTGCGTTATTGGTCATAACAGCCAGAATTCACTTAATAACTCGCTGCCATCAGAAACCAACCCAGCTCCAAAATAAAATACAGTTGCATTGCTTTGCAGCAAGCAAATATGAATAAAAATAATAAATGCTATTTTTACATTTAAGCCTCTGCAAGTTTAGAGCCTATATTTATGTAGAGCACGTGGGCAGTTTTAATGTTTAAAATTGAGCATATAGACAGGTGTCTGTAAGATCAGGGCATTGGGCACTAAAAATAAAAAAAGAACATGTCTGAATAGGATCAAGGAGAATATTGTTGAGTAAATGGATATCATCTCTATGCATGTGCATGTTCTAAAATAAGTCCAGGCTCAGTAACATCAGTGTAGTTTTTAAAATTTCCTTTTAGTCATCTCTTTCTCAACCATCTTTCAAAATCATGTTTTAAAATAAAGTTGCATATTGCATTCCTAAGCTCTTTAGCATGATTTCTATTTTTGTGGGTTTATTTTTGGTAGAGATAAATCTGATATTATGACCTACATTTCCTTATTTGAGACAGCTAGGGGTAATATCTCTACCTGTGATTTCTTTCACGCTTTTGCTGAAAGGCATTGTTTTACAGTAAATTTTCCAGGTACATGAGGTAAGAAGGAAAGGAGGAAACTGCAGATAGTAATTAGACATAATCAACAGTCTCTGTTCTTCAAAATAATTTAACAAAGTGCTCTGCTCTGTATTGTTACGAATCATTTATGGTCTTGATCCTTACAGTTTTTGTTCACATGGTCTGATCTGACCAAGCTTCCATGATAGAACTTTTCAAGTGCAAACATTGATGCTGTTTAGGTCACGCTTTGCTCTATCAGACCTTATCTTTCATTAAAATTTTAAGTTATTACTCTCTGAGCAACATCCGGCAATCTCTTTTCGAAAACACCCTCAGGAGTTGTAAACACATCGATATGTGTCTTCCCAAAGCTCTGGCAAGTGGTGTCTGGCATTAAAGATACCCAGGTGTGTTTGTCCTCCTTCGGAGTGAGTGCACGGGTCAGGCACAGCTTCATCACAAACTGGTCATGCACGAATATAGACAAGGCTGATCTGTCTCTGGCTTTGCGTTAATATCTCTGCTGCAACCGAGGGGTTTTGAAAGTGAAGTCTGGCACTAATTTATGAGAGCGATGTGGGGGGAAAAAAAATAGGTCAGCAAGTATGAAAGGTGCTGACAAGCATATAATATCTAGAGATTGTTAAAAAAGGGGGGGAAAAAAAAATAGTCTTAAGTCGGCCTTTCCAAGAAAGCAAGCTGTTATGCCTGAGGTTTCCTTGGCATCAAAGCAGGGCAGAGGTGAAGTAACTTGCTGAAGGACACATGAGAAGGCTGTGTCAGAACTGGGGAGCGATTTGGGAACTCAGATTTCCTAATACCACATCCCTTGATAGGAAGCTAAGAGAATGGAAACGTGGCTATTTGAGCAGGCTTGTTGCTTCGAAAACTGATCTTTGTAGTTAGATACCCCGTTTGTGAATCGATTCAGAGCTCGGAGAGGCCACCTTCCTGTGCTAACTCAGATTTTTCAAACTTCAGCTCTTCCATTTCTGCATATTTCGGGAGGAAAAAAAAATTGCATCATAAAAAAGCAGAAATATTAGAAAGTTAGATGCTAAAGTGATGGCTTCTATTTAAAGCACTATCTTTGCGTTTATACTCTGCAGCTGAGGTTAGACTGATGTTGCCTTTCATGAGGCAAGTGAGAGCGTGTATCACAGCAGGAAACATCTGTGCAAACTGCACTGATTCACGAGCTACAAGCACATGTGCACCGCAACTGCGAAGAAAAGGAGTTCTGAAATCACTGTTGTGCTGCTTTCAGTCAAATCGCTAGCGTCATCAAAATAGCCTCCGCGGCACGTGTGAGGCATTGGATCTATCTCTTCCCTAAAATAACCTCCAATTGCTTATGGCAGGCTTTTGGGACTTACTGCTGTGACTATTTTTTCCATTTTCCAGGACTGGGTTTTAAATTTCTGTATGCCTTCTCCAATATCTAGATGCTTAGCAGTCAGACTGAGTCGCAATCAAAATCCTCACTGTAAGTGATGGAACAGAAGCAGGATCTGATTCTTTTCTGTAGAAACGATGAATATTTTGGTGGTGTAACTTGCAGCCGAGTTCCTTGTGGGTTGAAAAGAATGAATATGATTGACACAGTTTTTACATAGCAACAAAGTAGTTCCCCAAATACACTTTGCACCTGAAAGGAGGGAAATGGTGCTAGGATCCTGGAAATGCTCCTTGTCTGGTAGCCTGGGAGAGGGGTTTTCCTACTGAAAACAGCCCTGGGAGTAGGCTGCTCCTCCTTCCTACACACGCTTTTTATTACCTGCATATTTCCTACTTTTGACACTAATTCTTCTCTCTTCTTGATTTCAATTTAGGAGCCGTAGCTCTTCTGCCCACTTGTAAGTGCAACTGGTATGGGTAATGGTGTGAGAGAAGGTCAAGTGGATTTCAAACGGCAGGATGTGGAGCCAGTTACATCAACCCATCTCCCGTCAGAGGTAAAAGCAGGAAATTGTTGGGTCTGTGCAGTGGGTTTGGGAGAAGAGCTGCAAGGCTACGCTCCGAAGGAAGCATCTCAATGGGATTTGAGCTGTGGACTCCTGAAAGAGCTGTAGTGTGTGTGCAAGCCACATAACGTGTAACTTCTGGTTTCTCTGAGGATGGCCAAGCAGTTGCAGCCCTCTGGGAGGAGCTGGGCACTGCTTACAGCAGGCAGGCAGGCAGGGCTGCATTCCTTGTTCAAGGTTATGTCTTGGTATGTCTTTAGTGGCAGAGCTGGGAAGAGAGCCGTAAATCTTTGGTTTCCCTTCTGTTGCTAGACTCTTGTTAGAAACACTGGAAGAGAAGGTGACACTGAACCTTGGTCTGATTTAGACCAAAACTCGGGCTGAACTTCACACAGTGTTGCCTTTGCATGGCTGCCCTTGCATTTAGCACCAGACAGGCAGAGATTGGAAGGGAAAATTGAACTGAACCATGTATTTTGGTAATAAACGTTAACTTTTTAGTTGTCAAATATTCGGGGGGGGGGGCGGGA